ATGCGTTATGTTGCACATGTTAAACGTTGATTATCCTATAAAATATCTTCTCTCTCTCTCTCTCTCTCTCTCTCTCTCTCTCTCTCTCTCTCTCTCTCTCTCTCTTTATCTGTCTGTTTGTCTGTCTGTTTGCTTGCCTGTCTGGCTGCCTGTCTATCTACCTACCTGACTCCCTGTCTGTTTGTCCACCTGCCTGCCTGCCTGACTGCCTACCTGTCTCCCTGTCTGTCTCCCTGTCTGTCTGCCTGTCTGTCTGCCTGTCTGTCTGCCTACCTGTCTCCCTGTTTGTCTGCCTGTCTGTCTGCCTACCTGTCTCCCTATTTGTCTGCCTACCTGTCTCCCTATTTGTCTGCCTACCTGTCTCCCTGCCTGCATGCCTGTCTGTCTGTCCGTCTGTTTGCCTGCCTGTTTGTCCGCCTGCCTGCCTGCCTTCCTGACTACCTGTTTGTCCGCCTGCCTGCCTGCCTTCCTGACTACCTGTTTGTCCGCCTGCCTGCCTGCCTTCCTGACTACCTGTTTGTCCGCCTGCCTGCCTACCTACCTGCCTACCTGACTGACTGTGCCTGCCTGTCAGTCTGTGTATCTATTTGTGATCGTTTAATGAGAATCATTAAAAGTAAATTGTTTCTTCAGATTAAATTATTCTTTTTTTTTTTTTTATTCGACTTTTAATGACGTGATAAAAAGCATTTCAAACGAATAACTATATAATATTGAGTTTTAAATCTTCTTTCCTTTTCTTTTTTTTGTTTCTTTTTTTTTTTTCAAGAAATATAATATTAACATACGCCCAAAGCTTATTGATTAGATTTTCTTCTTCTTCTTCTTCTTATTATTATTATTATTATTATTATTATTATGATAATGTTCTTTTTTTTTTTTTTATTATCATCATCATTCATTCATTGTTAATGTGCGTGTGCGTGCGTGTATGTATATATTAGAGGTAATTGATATTAATTAATGTTAAAATTAGACGTTGAATTATTTGTTTTAAAAAGTAATATATTTATATACTAATAATTATAATTATTATTATTAACTATATGTACACATACACGTATATACATATATATATATATATATATATATATATATATATATATATATACGTATATATATATTTACAGAAAGAAAAAAAGAAGAAGTACTCAATTAGAATAATTAGCAACATTTAATTAGAGAAGAAAAGTAATTTAAAAATTTACATAAAGCGTCCATATTTAATTGAAACATAATGAAGTAATATTTTACAATAATCGCATTTTTAGAGATCAATTAATTGTCGATTGATATTGAAATAAAAATAAAAATGAAAAAAAAAAAAAAGAAAAACCAAACAAATTAAATTAGGATACACATAAAAATTGTACTTTATTATAAAAATTAATTGTGTTAAAAAGGAGCAATTAATTATTCATATGAAAATAAAAATGAAAAGAAAAATAAAGTTAAAAGTTTAGAGTATCCAATACACATATATGTCATACATATGTAAGAGAAAGCTTCTTAGTTGGCTTGATCATCGAGGTTATGTCTCCTATGCAATTTCCGTCCTTGTGTATACGCACATATAACAAGCCATTTTCTACATGTAGATTTTTAAATTATGTATAATTTTTTTTTCTCCTCTTTTCTTTTTTTTCTCTTCACTTAATCATTATCTGAATAAAAACAGAAAAAAAAGAAGATAGAAAGGAAAAAAAAAAAGAGGAAAAAGTGTCTTGCACAGACACATTTCAATGAAAGATCATAGAAAAGTTATCGATTACTTATCCTTGACAAATATCAATAAATTAAAATAATTTTTATGCACGATATATCAAAACATTATTTATTCACGATATATTGTATGTAACAGATGGTTTATGATAAAGTTGTAAAATTTTATAATTTGTTTTTTTGTTAAATATTCAAAAAAATTGGTTTTTTGTTAGGTATTCAAAAAAATTTTCCTTACATTTCATATTTCAATCAAAATATTTGACACACGCGCACGTGTGCGCATATCTGGATTGCATCTCGTGACATTGAAAATTTTCTTTTTTTTTTTTCTTCTTTTTTTTTTTTTTTTTTTTTTGTTTTTTAAATTTTAAGCACAAAGGAATCGAATTAAAAATCGTACAAAGTCGTATGGAAATATTTAATATAATGTCAGACATTAAACTGAAATACATAGTACTTCGATTATACTAATTCTCTGTCATAAAAATACTGGTCTTCTCTTTTTCTATACTTTTACTTTTACTTTTACTTTATCTTGATAATTTGTCTATATTTTAGTTTATTTTATTTTATTTTATTTCTTTTTATTTTCAATTTTGCACTAACAAAATTTATTTTAGTTTAATGAATTTCTTTCTCTCTTTCTATCTTTCTTTCTTTATTTATCTTTTTCTTTCTTTTTTTTTTTTTGATACAAGAAAAAATTATTTGAAAAAAGAAATCAATCAAATTTGTTATTTTCTTTCTTTTTTTTTAATTTCATTAATCTTTCAAACTTATGTACATTTATTTACAATCACTTCGCCGCCTTTTTTGAAAAGAATTTTTACAATATCTATGAAATATTAATCCACGAATATGTTCACCCTTTTAAAAATAGTTATTTATAAAATAACAATAGAAATTGTTAATTTTTGATTTTGTATATTTATAAATAATTGTTCGACCGCCATGTTATGATAATGATTCTTTTTTGTCTCTTTTATTTATAACGGATAAATAAATTTATTTATTATGGAACGTATATAAACAGATCGATTTTATCATTCCAAATATGAAAGAAAGGATCGTAGGTAGTACGTAGAAATTTCTTGTGTGACCTCCAATATATACGATGGATCCGTAGAGGTTATACTTTCGTTCCTGAATACAGTGACGTATCTAAGATTTTTGTTACCACTGTTGTCAATATTTCTCAAAAATATTTTCATATTATTACTATTTACTTCGTCTAAAATCTACGTTGTATCGTTAGATATTATAACGTACAATGTGTGTAGATATTACAAAAATAATTTTAAAAGATTCCAAATGATAATATTTTCGAAAAATAAAAAAATAAAAGGAAAGAGATACAGAGAATTATTAAAATTCAATGATAATATAATAAATTATACAGAGATATTCAACATTAATTATCTTGTTGTTCATGTTCGTTCGATCAATCGAATTTTCACGAATTATATTTTACGAAGTTGTAATCAAGAAGCAAAATTATAATTGCGCGTTTTTTTTTTTTCTTTTTTTTCTTCATTGTCTGTACCGTTTCAAAGAAAAGTTTTTGTCATCGCGACAAGAGGAAAATCGTGTTTCTTTAAATAAAAAAAAAAAAAAAAAAAAAAAAATGGAAATAAAAAAAGAATGATTAGTATACATACGAAAATGTACATAACTTGATTTTATTATGTATTCCACGCATAGAAAAAGATCACATGATCGCGTGTGAATCTTGTTGATCGTACGGAGAAAAAAAGCAAATGGCCGCGGTGTATATTTTAAAAATAATAAGAATTATAAAGGAATATGAAATAAGTTAAAAATATTACAAATAATCATTTAATGTAAATTTGTTTACGAGGCAAATATTGTATTTACTGTAATATATTATAAAATATTGATTTACATAATTAACATACAAGATTTACATAAAATCATTAATGAAATTTATGTAAATTTTGTATGAATTATTTACATGTACATACGAACACACACACACACACACACACACACACAAGTAACATTTATTCATCGTGAAAATGTGTAAAACACAATAGACACTTTGTAAATATATATATATATATTTTTTTTTCTTTTTTTGTTGAAATGGCCAGTTTTTAAAGTTATTTATAAGGGTAAATAAATTTCGTACGATTGTAGCGACTAGCGCGGGAAAAAAATGAACTAAGAACGTGTTAGAGATATACTGACCCCTTTTCTTGATCTCTGTGTTAGTAATAATAAACTTGTGTGATATGTATATACTAATACAAGTGACGCGTTCATTTTAATTGTCAAGAACAAATTTTTAATCCAAAAAGGCAAATAACAAAAATATATAATTATTTTATAATTAATTAATTAAAAGTTTTTCTTAAAAATTTCGTCAAGAGAAACTTTTATTATGTCCCTAATTCGGTTATCGGGAGCAAAAAAAAAAAAAGAAAAAAAAAGAAAAAAGCAAAAAAGAAATGGAGGGAAAAAAATCAAACATGGCCGAAACATTTTATACATTTAGATTCAATGCTTGGCAATAAAAAAGAAATAACACAGCAAAAAGAAACAACAAACAAAAGATTAGAAAAGAAAAAAGAAAAGAAACGGAGTTTTCGAATACGAGAAAATTTGTTTTTTTTTTTTTTTTTTTAAATATTCACGAAGTTTTTCGATCTTTCGAATTAATGAAGTCGACATAATTTTTTTTTTTTTTTTTTTTTTAATTAAATAGGCATAGTATAATATCTAGATTCATTATGATTATGATTAAGATCATTCATTATCACATCTTGGTAGATATATCATTTTTGTAGTATATTGGATATTATCTTACACGAAATGATTTATATAGAGTTTACGATAATATTTAAATTGGAACATTTAGAATATCTTGATTTTACTTCTTAATTGCCTCGAGAATTAACAAAACTAGAAATCATACACTTTCTTTGCATGTATTATAAAGAAAAAAAAAAAAAGAAAAAAAACATCTTTGCTCATTGCATTTTATTTTTCGTTTCACTTTCTTACGATATCATTGAATTAATTGACTCTTCCTAATATATAAGATAATATAATATAACGATTAAAAAAACATTTTGATCGTTTCGTTTAATAACGACAGAATAAATGTTTTTGATGTTTCAAGTGATGATCAAAAATTAATTCTAATTTTTTCGAAAATTTTTGCCTTGCTATGTTAATTTACGTATACATGTTTTGAAAAAAAGAAAAAAAAATAAAAAAAAAGAACGAAACGAAAAAACGCAGAAAAAAAATGTTCGAACGAATTAACTCGTTGCTAGTTTACTTTTTTTTTTTTTTTTTTTTTTTATAATAATCAATGCAGACAGAGACATAACTTTCTATATAACATTTTTTTAATTGTGATTTGGATGATTATATATATATGTATTAAGAAAAAAAAAACGAAGACATAAATTGGAATAATTAATAATAAAAAAAAATGTGATTAGATCAATTTGAACAATTTGATAAAAGATTTGTTTTTCTTTTTTCTTTTTCAGTGCCATACTTGGAAACAGTTGATTTCGATCTAGAAAGAAGTCGAAAGTGGGGAAGAAGGACAAAGAGTGAGAGAGAGAGAGAAAGAGAGAGAAAAGAGGGAGAAAAAGGGAAGAGTAAAAAAAAAAAAAAAAAGAAAAAGAAAAAAAATGTATCGACATTGAGATTTGATCGTTGAAATTTGCTCCCGTGAAAGTTCCTTTCGATTTGGCGATTAACTTTTAAAAGGAGAAGAAAAAAAAAATAAAAAAAAAGAATAAAAATAGTATCGACAACCATAACAACGACAAAAGACAAGGGAGCGAAGAAGAATCAAGAAAAATGGCGGACTACAATAAGGATGACACCAAACAACGGGAAAAGATCAAGAAGATGTTCAGTTGGAGCGACGGAATAACAAAGTGAGTTATTGTCTTAGAACGATAATATTTTTCTTATTGTCGGATAGAGTGAAAAAGAAAAAAAAAAAAATTAAAAACAACAAATGAAAAAAAAAAGAAAAAAAGAAAATAAGAAAAAAATGGCGCGCAACTTGAATCGACAAATATCGAAAAGAATTTTTTCTTATATTATCTGGGGGGATTTTTTCTTTTTCTTTTTTTTCTAGTTTTGTCCTTTTTTTTCCTCTCTCTCCCTACAGTACGATATCGAGAAATTTGCGAGACCATGGTCGAATAATTTAAGATGAGGGGGAGGAAAGGAGCGGGGGAAAAGGAATGATCCTTGAACTTTTTTTGGTTGTTAATTTTTATTAATCTTTTTTCCTTTTCTTTCTTCTTTTCTTTCTTTTTTTTTTCTCTTTTTTTTTCCTTTCTTTTCTTTTAATCATATCTCTCATGCATTCGTTGTGTATACTTTTCAAGGTGCACCACCAATCATAATCGTAAGAACGTGAGCGATACACAATGAGTATCTATGAATTTGCCTTGAATACAAATTTTTATTTTATGTTAAATTATAGTCTCAGAATCTTTTACGAACTTCTTTGAAAACAATTAAAAACTTCTAGCAAGAACATTAGTATGTAATAATCATAATATTTATTTGATCAACGTTTCGTCCATTTCGAATTTATTCATTTTTGATTTGCGTTATCCGATATTTTTATTATCTACGTTCGTTATATGAAATTCGTTTCGAATTCCTTTTTTTTTTTTTTTTTTTTCTTCTTTCTTGAATCTAACAAGATTTTTTTGGACTACGTAATCTATAAAAAAAAAAAAAAAAAAAAAGGAAAAAAGAAAAAAAGAAAAAATAAATAAATAAATAAATAGAAGAACGAGACAAATTACGAAGGGAGAATATTATTGGACTCGAATGATAAATTGTAAGAAAGTACATCGAATTGGCATAGAATTTAATTGTTATTCGCGAATCTAATTGTGTCTGTCTATGCATGCTTTTCAATGTACAGAAAACAGTGTTCGTAACTGCACGTGAAAGTGGTCGTCGGTAGTGACCAACAACTCTAATGAATAAATTTACAGTTTATTAGATCGTGCCTACCAATTGTAGATTCAGTGAAAGGATAATTCGTCTGACGAACATACATATGCATGTATCATTTATAAAATTAATTAATATGGGCATTAAGGTAAATATGTATGTGTATATATGTATATATATATATATATATATATATTGTGTATCCTATATTAAAAATTGAAAAAAAGATGTTACAAAAATCTTTTGCAACTAATAGTTTTCTGCATAATATAATCTTTATGCGCAATCATCATTTTATTATATAAAATTAATTAATCTATAGAGGTAATTTTTTCAATTTTTTTTTTTTTTCATTTTTTTTTATACATATACACCATATTTTTATACATACATATATGAAAGATGAAATATCTATAATGAAATATTTCTCCTCAAATAATGATAATTATTGATATTGAAATACATATAAACGTATAAAAGATTGTAGATGAATGTTAGGAATATTTGTATAATAACACGCGTAATTTAATCGTTTAATAATAAAGCAAACTTTCATTATTTCTTGTATACTTGTGTCGAAAATGATTATTCGTTGATACGATTGATATGCTCCTTATCAATGAATATAATTTCATATAAAAGAGTTCCTTAATATTCCGAAAGATGGCACTACATATGCTATTCAAGCTTAAAACATTTAATATGAAATGTTGATCGTCGAGTATCGATGTAAACTCATATGATAAAAGAAGAGAGAGAAATAATATATAAAATTTAATATTTTAATATAATATTTTAATATTTTCTTTTTATATAATAATATTTTATTTTTATTTTTTCTCGACTTTACTAATAATACATAGTTTTAAATGATACGTACAGGAATATATAATAAATGGTATCACGAGAAACGTCTTCAGTTTAATATCACCATTGAAGAGTTAATTGACTAATTGAATTAATCTAATAAATAAATAAAAAAAAAAAGAAAAAAAAATCAAAGAAACAAAAATATACAACATTGAAATGAAAACTTTCGATATTAAAAATTTTTTGTCGATAATGTAGATCTATCATGCAAGTTAGAGAGAGTACAAAGAAAATGAGAAATGTAATTATTTCAGATTGAAAGGAATATTTTAATATGTAAAATTCTTGCCGATAATGTAGAGATCTCTCGATTTACCTTTGGAGCTGTAAATTTTTTTTCCCTTTTTCTTCTTCTCTTTTTTTTTCTTTTTTCTTTTTTTAAATTAAAATCGTACGAATAAAAAGAACAAATGTCTCGTTTAACAATACGTTTCGATTCTTCTTATCGTCCTTACACAGGTGGAATCTATCGGTAAACATGAAGCTATTGATGAGTTAGATTTTTTTCGTACGTTCAATGACGACATTGTATTCTTACTGAATGCAGTCTAAAAAATTTCTGCATAATGAAAAGCCACATTGAAAAACTGATGAAGTAGAAAGGATAAATAAAAAAACGGAAAGAAAAACCAGAAAGAGAGAGAGAGAGAGAGAGAGAGAGAGAGAGAGAGAGAGAGAGAGAGAGAGAGAGAGAAGTCAATCGAAATGTCATTATCATCGCCATTATTAATGGCGGCTTTCTTTCTAAATTCACTTTTTTCAATTTTTTTCTTCATTGACATCAATCTTTATAAATTATATTCCAAAGGTCGATTGTTTACGTTCGAAAACCCTTTTTATTGTATTTGCATAAAAAGCACATGAATGCATAATTGCATAGGGGAAAAAAAAACAAAGAAAAAAGAAAATATATATATATATATATAGCGTCGTATCGAGCAAAGGTCGAGTAAGATAAAGAGAGAGAAAGAGAGAAGATTAACATTGAGACCGAGAATAATACTGAGCATTTATTGATACGTTTTATTTTTTAAAATTGTTAAGAATATTTTTCTCCAGACAATTTTCGATAAACAAAAAATATATTGACCTACAACTGTCCATTGTGTTACATATATACGTGTATTTCTTCATCGTTTCAATGTTAAATTCGATATGTATTTATATACGTTCTTAAAAATTTATTCACCAAATTTTAACCCGTTGATCTTGAATCGTCGAATTATATATACAATTTGTAATCAATAAAAAAAAAAAAGGAATAATAAAACAGAAAAGACAGTAATTACATACATATATATGTATATATATATATATATGGTCGATAAAGATTTACCTTATCTCGTGATGAAAAAAAAAAAGAAACGAAAAGAAAGAAAAAAAATGTAAAAATAAAAATAAGAAAAAGAAAGAAAAATTTATAAATAAATGAATATTATTCGTTTTTCGTTTCGTCGAAATCAAATTTTATCGATATTCATTAATTAGTTAAAAATCTTCTCTATAAAAACACACACACACATATATATATATATATATATATATATATATATATGCGTGTCAACATATTTGGATATATAGAACAGATATTTTGTATTCGAATTCAAAGATATTTTTTAAAACTTTCGTAATATTTTATTTTTTTTTTTTATTATCGTCTGATAAATTTTTTTTTTCTCTAATAATAGATTCAATCTAATTTACGATAATTAAACCCCAATATATATATATATATATATATATATATATATATATATATATAATCCTTTAATATTTCGATTTAAAATCTTTTCTCTCTATCTGCCTCTCTCTCTCCCTCTCCCCCCTCCTCTCTTTCTCTCTCTCTCTCTCTCTTTTGTTCTTTCTCTTTCTTTTTTTGCCTCTCACTTTTGTCTCTCTCTCTTTCTCACTCTTTTTCTTTTTCTCTTTATATCTATCTCATTCTCTCTTTCTCCGTTTCCTTAGAATGACACATTATTTGTAAAAGTTTACTCAAATTTTTTTATGACATTGTTCGTTAAAGAAAAAAAAAAAAACAAAACAAAACAAAACAATAAGAAAGAAAAAAAAAACAAACGTCGTTTAATTTTATAAAATTATTATTAAATTTATACTTTAATGAATTTCATTTTTTTGCATTATCTTAATTATTTTATTATTTTCATATTATCGTAATTATCAAGTATACTGATTGTAAGTAAAATGACAAAAAAAAAATATATATATATACATATATATATATCTATATATATATACAGTTGATCTTACTACTATCTGTCTAAGATTAGATGTTTATTTTACAGAGAGTACATTCACCTTATTCTATTAGTGTCACAGTTAGTATTCGAAAGCTTTTTGATTTATTATCATTATTATTATTATTTGTATATATATATATATATATATACATGTATTAAAAGAACTGTATATTCCGTTTGATATGCATATAAACTTTTTCAAATATTTGATTAAAATATTTTCAAGAAATATTCTAATTTGTTTTCCCTTCCTTTTTTTTTTTTTCTTTTTTTTGTTCCTTTCGTCGTTTTCTTTTCTTTTTCAAATAAATAATCCATCAAATTCATAATCATTGAAGAAAATATTATTGGAACGTTTTGATATTATGAATAACGATATTAATATAACGCATACATATATTAGATATAAGTAGAACTCGACTAAGCCATATTTGAACGTTCTTCCTGGGATTTACATAATTCCTGGCAAGAGCAAGAGCAAGAGCAAGAGCATTAGCAACAGCAATAGCTATGGCAACATTAAACAGCAATGGCAACAGTAGCAGCCGGATCAACCGCTTTCACGTCTGCTGGTTGGTATAACGCAGCGACCTGTTTCGTCTCCTTCTTTCATACAACTTCATGACATTTTCTCGTGGACTCGAATAACTGCGAATACGATTGGTTACGATACAATCTGATATTAACGAAATCATTAAAATTTCCAAATCGAATTTATAATTCAATTGAAATTAATGTATTTTTATATATCATATATGTATTTGTTATATACATATTATATATATTATATATATATATATATGTGTGTGTGTGTGTGTGTGTGTATA